ATTCAAAGTCTACTCTCAGCCATCTTCAAGTATTGTTGCTAACTGCAGTCACCCTGTGGTAGAACAGATCATTTCAATTTATTCCTCGTGGGAGGTTTCCAGCAAGAAAATTATGCCTGTCCTGGCAGCAGTGAGAAGTAAGCACAGCTGGAGCAAGAACACGTCTGAATTATTTGCTAAGACGTGGTGGCCGTTGTAAGAACACCACGGTGCATTCGATGAATCCAGAAGAATCTGCTTCCAACAGTTCTATTCCCAGGAGTTTGTTGTAATTCTGATCATCATTCAAAATTTTCCTAGCACCGATTGAGTAAAAAATAAAGTCTTTAAAAACAAGTACGCTTGGCTGTTGCTGTATCCTGCCCCAACAGATAGACTTTTCTGTCTTCAGAACCAATGCACACATTGAACGTTAGTCTTCACGGTGTTGAGTTAAAAATCGTGTATGTTCATTATTTTCCCAACACGTTCTTCCACACAGATATTTTTTTAAAGAATGTAAATGTCTACCTGATAGACATTACTGGAGTAAGATTTAGGGAGTTGTTTGGCCCATGATAATCTCCATGGTAAGGAGAGGATGAAGATTATCATGGATCAGGGGTAGTCTATTCACAAAGCAGAAACATTAAAATCATGATTTCAAAGACTAACAAGATCACATTGCTTCATGGTCAAACTCCTTTAGTGCTTCTCACCTGGAATGAAGCTCAAGCCCAGAACACTGAGGAGGCTTATGCGATATGGTGGATCCTGGCTTCAATTGTCAGTGTGCTTGACTTTGGTCAAACAATCAATGCCACCGTCACATATGAAGTTTCCTTACCTGATTACTCTCTCCTTGCTAGTTTTCCCAACTTTATTTCTTAATGAATTCGATGCAATTGATCACCCAGTGTCCTTCCCTAGTTTGCCTCCTCATCCTCTGTGCTTTTGCTTTGGGTCTTAAACTGATATGTTCTATTAATAGTTGTTCTTTTTGTTGCCTGAAAATAGATAATCAACTTTTTTATTTGCTGACTAAATCTCTTAAAATAAAAAATTTCAAACTCTAGGAAAGAGAGATTACATCAACCTTAAGTTATTCTTAACTTAGGGCAGTATCTAGTATTTAAAATTATTAATTTGACTCTTCACTACACAAACATTAAATAAATAAACCTTTCCAAGGTGACATGTAGGTTGACCTCATCCTCACCTGCAACTTGTTCTGCTGTCTCAACCTCATAGTTGAGGCCTAAGGGGAAAAGGAATGATTAACATCTTACTTTAAGGTTGATCTTTTGTTTTGTTTTTTGGCCAAATTTGAATCAAGCTTTAGTTAAATACTGGCCAGGAGGAGGCAATCTAGTCAGGTCCACCCCTGGGTTCCCAGGAAATAAAAATGAGTCACATTTTGAAGAGACTTAAAAAGGTAAAACCCAGAACTCATTGCATTTCTCATCAGATCCAATCAAAAGCAAGCATTCATTCTGTCGTATTTCCTGTTTACGTACTGCCCCCTACATTCGATCAATCACATCCAGTGTAAACAAACTTGTTTAGGGAGGTAAAAACATGTGGTTTGTTATTTCCCAAGAATACAGCTCCCAGCATTCCAAGAATGGCTGTCCTTGGACAGGTGGGGCTTACAGGTAAACTCTGGCTTTTACATTCCCCCTTAAGTTGGTTCAAAACACACCTACATATGCACTAGTATTCAAGAGTTCCTTGTGACACTAATGAAATTGTTGTTGGCCTTTTAGAGATGTGTGTTTTGGGTATGTGTGCATATATGCATTATGCGTATGTGTGTGTTCTTACATATATACAGACATACACATGTGTACACATGCATGACCATGTACATGTACATACATCCATGTGGAAGCCCAAAATTAATAGTGAGTATTTTTCTTCTTTTGCTTTCCATTTTATTTATGAGATCCATGGATGGGTATTTGCAGCTAGACTAGTTAGCCAGCTTTTCCCTAGAGATCCTTATCTCTGCCTCTCAAATACTGGAGTTACAGGTGGTTGGGTGGCTGGGTTTCTTTCTTTCTTTCTTTCTTTCTTTCTTTCATTCTTTTTCTTAAGACAACTCTGCTTGTCCTGGAACTCACTTTGTAGACCAGGCTGGCCTCAAATTTACAGGATCTGCCTGCTTCTGTGTCCCGAGTGCTGGGATTAAAGGCATGTGCCATCAAGGCCCAGCGTGGCTGGCCTTCTTTACTTGGGTTCTGGAATAAAAGATTTGTACTTATGCTCAAGTGGCAAGTGCTTTATCCCCTAAGCTATCTTCCCAGCCCTTGGATGTACATGTCACGATGCAATTCCTCTGAAAATTTTATTTCTGCATGAGGTCTTCTACCAGTCTTGCCATGCTTATTAGTCATCTTTGGGGCTCACAGATGTCAAAGTGAGGACATGACAACTCTAAGGTATGTGTGAGGGGAGAGTTTTTGTCATAGATATGATGGAGAGTGCAGTCAGGGGTATTAGGAAGAGTCCATAACAAACAAAGTATAATAATAAACATGACCAGCAGGTTGGACTGGGGCTTGGGGGAAGCGAGAAGGTGGGAGACTGAGAAAGGAGGACCATGATAGGAAGATAAGAGAGAAGGGGTCAAGGCTGAAAGGACAGAGTCATATAGAAATGAGAAGCTTGAGGAAGGGAAACTGAGGAGCTGGAGAAGTTTAGGATGGGGGTGGAAAGATGAGAAGCAAGATGCCTCTACTCATAGACTTTGTAACAGGTGTTTGTGATGCTGACAGAGCCAGAAGGCTGCATACACTTTGGAATGCTACTAGGCCCCACAGTTAACTATTTGTCCTGCATTTCTTTTGGACCTGGCAATAAGTGCATATGGACCCATTGATGAAGATGACACAATCAGCTGTGCCTTTTAATTTCGAAGCCCCACACCACTGTGTTAGAGTAGCAATTCTTACCCCTTTCTTGTTTGAGCCTTTCTGTCTTCTCTGAGAATCAGGTTCCGATGTTTTTCAGGAAAGAGATTAATTGTCCTTAAGCAAACAGAAACTGGGAAACATGCCTTAGCATCCCACTGACAAGGTAGAAAAGATGAACGATCTATCTGGATGCTCCATACAGTCCACGGTACCTTCCTCAGCACTCTCCACGTGACAGGATTATGGGTAAGGCATTAGTAGTGTAGAAACAGAAAGTCCTCATGGGAGTTCTCTTATGAACATGCCATTCAATTTTATGTTCTCGTGACTAGCAATGAACTGGGGATTTGACACCGTGGTGTCCCAACTGGATTGCTCATTTCTCGTAATAAAATGCTTACTTTGTTTTTATGCATGGTGCCACTGCAACATTTCCCACTCAGTAGGGGCTTTATAAATATTGACTGGTTGAAAATCGGAATTTCAAGTGTCATAACTTTGGGGTTATTGGCTTCTTAGAATTGCCTTTGTGAACTACAAATGCAGCTAAAATTGGATCTCTACCCAAAGCATTTCCATGGAGATGCTGGCCTATGCTACAGAGAAAATCCTTAAGATGGAAATTATCCCGTTTTATAGCTTCAAGTATTATTATTTAAGGGCAATAAATAGTGGTTAATAACGGAGAAGTCTTAAGTTTCAGGCATGTTTTTAGAGACTCAGCCTACTAATACAATTAAGTGTAGGTCAAGAAATGTTATTTGTTTTGGTCATAGACCCTGAATTTCCAAGAGAAACACACATATCATGGCCGTGGTAATGGCTTTGTGGTTCGACTCCTGCCTCCTTACATGTGGGAAGTGACTTTGAGATGAGCATAATAACTATTTTAGAGCTGGAGCCTCATTTTCAACATCACAGATATGTGTGACATCCTGGAACTGATTTCAAATACATAACAAAGATTATTTTTAAAGAGCCTTGATGAAATATCACTAGTTTTAAGGAAATTTATTGTGAGATCTTATTTTATATCATTAGAATATTAAATCTAACAGAAGAAATTGAAGGAGTAGATGGTACCAAACTCTGGCGGGCTATGTTTGCCATTCTGAGACAACCTACTTAATATTCAGTGTTGCTTGGAGACTCCCATAGGGAAGAAGTATATATCCCATTTCTTATGACTGACTTTCATAGTGATGGGAAGATGAAATTGAGAAGCATAGATTAGGATTATACTAGTTCTTTAGGCATAGGATATATGGATAAACAAATTTTTAAAAAGTTTTTTTTTGTCAAAAAAAATAAAAAGGCCTCCCTGCCCCGAGATTGTTTCCAGAAAAGTGTGCAGACTGCGTGGTAGGTAGCAAAGGATATGGAGCCATGAAGACACGAAAGGAGAGTTCTATTGCTCAAGGGTCAACAAAACCATTCTGAAAAAGGAATAAGAGGTGGGGAATCAGTTGGCAGAAACAAGGAGAAGGATCTGGAAGAAACTCTATAAGCATAAATCCTGACTACATTATCACAAAGTATCATGCAAATATCACATCATATCGTCACGTAGCATAGTGTAGCATAGCATATTGAAATAGAGACAGCAGAGTTCTCATTTGCGTTCTTAGTTTTATTGATAAAATAATTTAAAAATGGTCTCAGACAGAAGCTCAAAGACAATTTTCTTAGCACTTAGGAGGAAAACAACAGGAAAGGCAAGCTACTCGTCTTAGAAACTGCTGGTGAAGGGAGAGGGGTTAAAAGAAGAGAGAAAGTCATTCCTTTTGAATTGAATTCTTAAAAAGGCTGGTCTGCTTATCAGTGAAAGTCAGCAAGTCAGCATGGAGGTCAGAGTGAGGGGAGCTTCAAAGAGAACGAGACAGCACAGAGTGTCAGAGCAAGCAAGCCAGTTTCTGAAGCAAAAGAGATAGAAAGACAGAGAAAGAAGATGCATGCTCCTGAGTTAGAACTCGGAACAGGCGACAGAATTAGTAGTATTTCAGGAGAGAGACTCCATCAGCATCAAAGACAGGCTTAAAGGAAGGGTAAGCTCATTATCTCATTAAGGGACTAATTACGTCTTCTATCTCCTTCTCACATCCTCAGGTGAATCAGCTTTCCAATGCTGTGGTCCTCTGGCCAGATGATTGACAGGCCCGTCTGGATTGAAGAAGGAGACAATAGTATGTAATGAAATTTTTGGAGATTAGAATTTCATGTATCCAAGCAAAGCCCTCAGACTGCCAGTTATTCATATGATAATTTAAACCTTAGCGAGCAATTGGAGGCTTTCTCTTTCATGTTTACCCAGAGAAACGCTGGAGGGATGTCCCAAAGGGGACTATGAGGGATAAAAGCAGCCACAATTGTTTCCAAAGCTATTCTCTGTAACAGTATCATCATATATAGCATACGTAAGAAATACAGTCATAAATGAAACATGCAAACATCCAGAGACAGCAAAAAATCAGGTAAGCAGCACACACTGAAAGTTCAGTAGTATTCAGATACAGATGACAAGGGAAGAAGAATATTCTCCTCAGTGAACCATGCCTTACAGAAATTGAACTTTCATTAAGAATGTGACAATTAATTAGCAAAATTTGTCCTTTCCTGAATGATGGTTACTGATAAGTAAGTTTTATACCCTGTTAGGCACTCCTATAGGTATTTAACAATATTGCTAAGAACTGGAGGCAGAGACAGAAACTGGTTAAGTCAGTTTTTGGGAAAAGGAGCCAGGAAGCCAACAGTTCTAATTCTTGTCCTTGGTCACAAGCCAGAAATGTCCTTGGTTCTATCATGGACAGAGACCAAAACGCCAGAATGAGCTCTGATTTCCTGTAATCTCCCACTTTTAAATGAACACCCCCCTACACACACACCCCTGCCTAGAAGCTATGTTTGAGGGTGTGACTGAAACCCGAATCCAGACCCCAGTCTCTCGGGTGAAATTTTGGAATTAGATCTCAGGATTTTCATGGTAGAGATGAGTTGTGTCCTTTTCCCAAATTCATTTCTTAAATAGTTTTAAGTTCTTAACTGTTTTTCAAGATTTGGCTTTTCAGTTTTATTTGTGGAGTGACCAGGGTGTGTGGGTATGTGTTTGTGAGGGCAGGCATCTGTGACCGACAGAAGAGGGCACTAAATTCTCTGGAGGTGGGGTAATAAGCAGTTGTGAGTCACCTGGTGTGTGTGGTACCGGTTGCCAAACCTGAGCAAGAGCAACAAGCACTCTTAACCTCCTAGCCATGTGTCTAGCCCAGAGTCTCAGCTCTCTGGGGAGACGTTTAGGTAACTAGACCAAGATTCAGAGCCCTGGTGGCCAATGGAGACGGACCCTCCTAGCTACAAAGAAAAACATGACAGCTGACCCTCCTTAGACCTCTGTCTTTGGGTAGAGGCATGGCATTCGGATGTACTTCAAAAATTGAAACAGTACATAGCATTTTCTTTTGTATGGTTTTTTTTTTTCTTTCTAATTCCATCCGCCAATCACCTGTCCGGAAAGCACCTAATTGGATGCTGATTCAGCTGAGGACATGTTAAAACAAAGAGAGGAGTAAGCAGCCCCATAAGGCAATAGTTCTCCACCAGCGATCCCTGCCCCTTGGGATATTGAATGACCTTTTCACAGGGGTTGCCTAAGATCAGTTAGGAAGGAGTGATGAAGTAATGTTATGGTTGGGAGTCACCAAAACATGAAGAACCTTGTTAAAGGATGGCAGGAAGGTTGAGAGCCACTGCCTCATGGAGACAATGTTTCCACCCTTCTCAGAGACCTCCCCTCATGTAGCCTCGGTAGAGAAGCTGTGTGGCACAGATAAGCTGGCCTGTTTTTTTCTGAGTTCTTTCGAACTCAGAAACTTAACATTTCCTTTTCTTTCTTTCTATTGCCTTTTCTTTTGGATGCTGGCCTGACACCCAGGCTTGCTCTCTCTGACACTCGGAGCTCTCTCACGTTCTGTGAAGTGCTTGCTCCCCCTCTCCTCCATGCCGTTCCTTGCTGACTTCTATTGCTAGACAGACCTACGTTCCTGGACTCTTAACTTGAAATGTTTGCTTTCTCCCTTCCTACTCTCCATATCCCTTGGCAGCTGCTGAAATTTTTGCACCTGGCCTGGTCTATTTTTCTTTCAAACTCTAATAAAATCGTGCCCAAGCATCTTCCTAAGTCTATTTTAAAATTATTTTGTTAAGGAGACTATTAGCAGCAGAAAGGAACCCTGACTACCCAGTAAGAAAGATTATGGTCTCACAGACATGAGTATGAGGCCACTGTGGTGCAGGGAGATTAGTGCAAGAGAAATAATGTTTCATAAAATGTGTAGGAGTTTTGCAACAGTCTCAAGCAGGTATGGGTATAGGGCAGAAAGCAGAATGCACTTCAGGTAACAGGGCCCAGATCCACAATAAAAACAGGGAAAGTGTTTGTGATTGAGGAATCCCGCTTGCATTGGTGTAGCTTTCAGACCCATACCCAAAATGGCAGACACCCACGGATAGAGAATAGGCCGACTTCCACAGTATTTGACGTAATATTGGCTGCTGAAGATGAGACCCTAAATTACAGTTTTGAAAGCAGAACATTTAAGAATCCCAAAATAAAGTCATTCTACATCACATATTATATAGGCTTTTTGCTATATATGCTAATACACTTCCCTGATTCTGGTTTAGATAAGTTTATAGACAATATATTTAAATCTATAGTGAATATTTCTGACTATTTAACTGTAGGCTGATGTTCATATCTAATGAGGTTTATGTAAAATTACGTTAGGTCAGGTGTACAATTTTCTTTTAAAGATTTTGTGCAATAGAATACATGCTTTAGGAAATGAACAGGATGTTTCTGCACATAAGGAATGATGTGGTAAGACTTATAATCCAGTCGTGAATTGATATGACATGGTGAACTGATAAGGGTGTTTTATGACTGGTCATGCTCTTTATTTGGAAGACTGAAGCTGTTTTATCAAGGCTAGCTTGTAAGCTAGAAGACATAAAATACTAAAAGCACCAAAATGTCATTTCAGCATTGTTGTAGATGATAAAATTTCTTTTGAGCACAGAATAAAAAAGGCTGGGTTAGACAGCAAGAGACTAAAGAATTCTGCTACATGTCACTGACTGGAGCCTCTCCTCTCCTCGCCTCCCCTCACCACCTTTCTCTCCATCTTCCCATCCCACCTCTCCGGGCTCCCTGTCTTCCGACCTCTCTCACTCTGTTCCTTATCCGTCTCTTTCCTCCTCCTAAGCACTCTAATTCTTCTGCATACCCTCTTATTCCATCCTCACCCCTCCTTCCCTCCTCCTTTCTCTCCTCCTTCTCTCCATGCCCCCTTACTCCCCTCTACACCTTCATCTCTCCTCTCCTAGCTCCTCCTTTTTCTTCTCTCCATTGTTTTCCCTTTCCTTCCCTGGGTCCTTTCTTTGTCCTGTCCTCTTTTAGCTGAGGATTGAACCCAGAACTTTGCGCATACCAGGAAAGCCATCGATGGCGAAGCTATGGCCCCCAGGCAGCACTTTTATTTCTTTATGGGTAAAATGCATGTGTCCTATATGGGTTTGTGAAATCCTAAATAAACTACATTTAGCATTGTCCCTGATGCTGTGCTAGGGTGTGGATTTTAGGATCAATGTTTCTGAATGCCTCTTTCTGTAAAAAACAAAAAGAAAGAAAGAAAGAAAGATTTATTGCATGTGATATGGAAGTTCAAATTTTCTAATCTGTATATTAAAGAAGTAGAAAAGAGAACAGATAAGACAGATTAAAACAGTATGTACTTAACCCTATATATCAAGAACTAACAAAATATGAAATTAATAATGCAAAAATGGATGAACATATCTTTTAAAAATCTATGTACCTTTATACATGTGGAGTACATTTTCTATCTCTTTTCACGTTTGATCAACAGTATTTTAAGGGCCAAATATGGCAGCAGAAATGGCCAGTGTAAGGTGCAAGTCCCAAGCTAACTGATCTCCTAGCATCACGATTCAGTAGCATTACTACTCAGTATACAATCCTGTCCTTTAACCTGATGTCAGAATCATGATGCCCTTGGTTTACTTGCTCGGTGGGTGAATTTCTATGTGGACACCCAGTCCTTCCTCTCCCCCGGTGTTCTCACCCTATGTAACTTCAAAGTGCATGTGCTAGATAGATTCAGCTCCTGCATCTGGCCTCTAAACATAGATTTAAAGGACCTGTGCAACTAGATCAAACTCATTAAGATAATCTATCCAAACAATAGCCATGAAGTGATTTCCAACAAGAATGCAAGGCCTGAAATCTATAGCCCTAGGAAATAAATTCTTCCAACAGAGAACTTGGAAGAAGATCCTGAGTTCTAAAGAAGAACACAGGCTGATGATACTGATTTCAGATGTGTCAAACACTTAACAGAAAGTCAATGCATTAACACAAAACAGTATCACAGTTTGAAGTAATTTTGCTAAAATGTTTCTTGGAAAATATTGTTTTTGTTGGGAAACAATACTATATCTGGAAACACTTAAAGACAAATAAATGTTTACCACTGAAATAATAATGGTAAAACCAGTTTGAGTTTGCATTAATTTGAAGCCTGAGTTCTATACTTTAAAGGATTGAATGTATTATGGGTAGGAACAGTTATGGACAGCAGAAAGGGCCAAGAGACAGGGTCAGGCATGCCAAAACTGCAGAATCTGCACAGGGACCAAAGTGAAGGTCATCGTCCTCATCCAGGACTGAAGAATTTGCTACATTTTAAATTAGGGAACATTTAATTCCTTAAATGTTTAAATTTAAATTGAGGGAACATTTTATACAAATACCATGACTCTTTTAATACGTAAATATTCCCAGGCTACAAGGATGGAAGCGACTTGTCACAAGGGAGAGTGATGTGATAAACTGTCCTAATTCACATCCTTCTCGGGGACTTTCTGACTCCCCAAGGCCACATTCAAAACTGACCCAGGAAAGGTCATCTTCCTTCTCTTCTACTGCAATTCAGAGTGGGCACAAATTCTTGTCTCAGTTATCTCTAGCATGAGTCTGGAAGAACAGATGTGAGAAAACTCAATAAAGGGATGCCTAACAGCAAGTGAAATGGATATAATACAATTCACAACTGGTTCTGAGATGATTGCTTTGGCACCCGCCTCTTCCCTCTGTCTTCAGACTGTC